AACACAAACTAAAAATAGCAAAGTATGCACCGGCAGCTTTTTAAAAGCTGTGTAAGTCTTTGAGCTGCATTTCAGCTGAGAGATTCATTCAGATGGAGGGGAGGAAGGCCAATGGGAATTTTAAATCTTTGAACACAGAGCAGATAGTCAGTCCATTTCCAGTACTGAATTTAACATGCCCTACCATAATTAGCTCTGATATCTACATGAGTGTCTTTTCCTTCTAGAATTTCCTGAAGAGCTTTGCCTCGCCCCATCCTAGTCAGCCACTAAAGCCCAGGGCTACAGTGAGCTTCCAGCCCAAGGAAGCAATAAATCATATTAAAGTTAAGCATGTGATTCTCTTTTCCTGAATTAGGGTTTCTAAGATTATTCAGCCCTTGCTGGCCCCTGAGGGCAGGACATCACAAACACCAACACCACTTTAGCAAAGTCTCCTGCTTAATCCTGCTTAGCAGGGGAGTTGGACTAGATGATGTGACAGCTTTTGCCTGCCCCAAACCTACAAACCTGAACTCCTCAGTACTCTTAAGATCCAAATTTGAATTTTAAAACTCTAATGTAGGGGCAGCAGTACAAAAAATAACTATAGAGAATCCTTTTATTGGCCCAGTTTAAAAGTACCAGAGGAAGCAAAAATCACCTCTTGCCCTCAGATAATTTCACCCACAGTACTCTTTACTGGTGCTCTCTCAGAATTCAGTATAGAGGAAACAAAAATAATGTCATCTACAGATTAAACTAAACCTGGATTAATTGTATAAACTCCTGTCATCAGGAGGATCACAAAAATGAAAATCCAAACAGAAACAGATGTAAATTTTGCAAACATGACTCCTGGCCTTGAGAAAAAAATTAGCTTGACATAAGAAATTTTGAACACATTCTAAAAACTCTACAGCCATTCAAGCTTTTTGGGCCCAATTTTGAGGTATAAGCTGCTCCACAGTACTTCTGGTGAGCATAGAAATCTTGCTTGGAAGTATTGAATCTAACTAGGAAGAAAAACCTCAATTCCAATTATAACTTGGTAATTAAAATGAAGAAACATATTTAATTAGAACCAAGCAATATTGCTGCAATCAAATAATTTCACAAAAATTTGCTCTGCCTTAGAAGCTATTATATTCATTTTTCTAAATCTCTTACTCTATATTAAGTACTAAGACTCAAAAACATATAAGCATCTAGAGACTGAACAAGAAATACTGCTGTGATTGTTACACAGATATACCATCCAGTTTACCCTAGGGAAGTAAAAGCAGAAAAAAAAAGCCCTATTGCAGAATTATCAAAACAAGTTTTTGCAGTCTGGGTACCTTCCTGGGGAAACAGAGCAGATGTGACAGTTAATTACTGAAGCTATATATTGAGAGGCTTAAGGAACATGAAAAATGTGACATGGCAACTTGTTTTGTTCATTGTTGTTTTCTTTAGAGTTGTCTTACCATTATTTCAAAGCAAAGTGATCAAGAATAACTCTATTCTTCACCATGACATCACCTTTCAGAGGAAATTTCTGTACAGGAGGAGCTTGTGCCATTCGCTTCACTCTCTCCTGGCTCTCTTGGAGATCCCAAAATTGTCAGATGTAGCTTTCTATGATGGATCTGCCTACTGACCTCCCGCTTCCCTGCCAGTAATAATAAAAATAGCCCAGTCCTGTCAACTTCCACAAGCTTACAGGTGGCCAACCTGGTTAACATTAGGCATGATTCTCGCAACTCTTAGAAAGAGGAGGACTAAATACCTAGAGCCACAAGCTGGTAGCCTCCAATTCCCTGTATGTTGGCTATGGAGACAAATATACACAAGCAATTGATTCTCCAAATGATATGTGAAAGAAGCTATTTGATATTTACAGCTTAGGTTTCAGATCATCAAAATCTTTAGAATTTTTACTGTGCAAGTTCTTTAATTCTTGCTCTACCACGATCAGCAGATGGATTTAACCACTCAAGTTTTCAACTCCTGCTGCAAAGTTCTGTGCAGTTCTGGAGACAGTGTGATATTCTGAACTAATTAGTTAATTGCGTATCAGAAAATACTTTCCATGGAACTGCGAACATAATTTCAGATTGCTGCGACTCTCAGGTCATCTTCTTGGTTGTTTTCCCTCAGATATGGAGGAGATAAAGAAGTTGGTGCTTCCTGAGTAGGACACACGTTGGGGAAGGCCACACAATGGGCAGAGATGGCCTCAGTAAGCATAAGCACAGATGAGTTTTCTAGGTGTTTCTCCCACATGGTGTGGGGATGGAACTACCCAGTGGAGCTCTAGAACCCACTGTCTGAGGTCCCATCCCTGCATGGATGGGAATGGGGTGAGCAAATGACAGATTAAATGATCAGCTTTCTCTGGTGTGTAGGGTCACTTCTGCACTGGACTAGAAGGGGGACATGACATTGTTCTGCAAGAAAGCAAGCTAAGGCTGAGTTGCAGAAGGGCATGAAATCAGAGTTCATCTACAGTGAAAGACTTCCTGGGTGTTATTGAGATACCAAATATGGGGAGACAACTAATTAATTCACATTACGTGGAGGGTTCACAAATCAAGGGACTTTTCACATTAAGGCTTATTCTAATCATCACTCAAGTTCATTGCAAGTATAACACAAAAAGAAAGTCTAGAGATCTGGAAAATGAATCATGAACAAATGCTACAACAGAATGTTGATTAAACCATGGTCTCTGTCTTCTTGGCAGGACCTCTTCTTCATTAAAATAAGAAAATAGATTCTTTGCAAAGCTGGTTATTGCACAGTGACTAATTTAATAAAATCCTTGCAGTTTGTACTTCCACTAAAGCAACTAACAGAACACAATCAAATGTATCCATAGTCATCAGTTTTTGTAACAAAGAAACCTAAAGTAGGTAAACATGAACAATATGAGAGGCAAAAGAAGGAAACCCAAGAAATTAATAGAATAAAATGGGGAAAAGGCTTTGGATGATACAAATGAAGTCAGAAACTTTAACAGAACATAAAAGAACAAAGCTTTTCCTATTCCTCCACTTTTTTTGAAGAATGTAAATAAAAAAGTGTGCCTTACAGGAGAACTAAAGCCTCTTGAGAAGCAGGATAGAGTCACCCATAAGTATGAGTCTGAAGTTGTAAGCATTTTAACCCAGAAAATAATGTATGGCTTAGAAAAAATAAAATATTAGACTTTGGTAAACTTGTTCAAAAATTGACTAACACAATAATTACACATGATTTACAACAAGAAGAATCTTATGGATAAACAAAATGTCTACTCATAGCACAAATTATTTCCTATCAAAGTTTTGGTCCTATTTTCTGCAGCAAAAAGCAGAATGTTCTTACAACAGGGTATGGGGGCAGGTTATGAAAGAACATTGGGTATATGTAGGAAAAAATAGATTTAATTCTCTTGTAAAAAAATTATATACAAATTCTATACAGAAGCATATGTCTTACATACTTTATTTATGAAATTCATATTAGTTTATCAGGAGATGGTATTGTAACTGAACACTCTCATAGACAGCTTTTTGAATATTTGTATTTTAAGCTAATGAGTATGGTGTTTTACCTGACAAAATAAAAAATGTGCTATTAGAAAACTGCCTGATTGCATGCAAAAATGAAGTCTATTAAAAGGGAACAGAAGACAGCTCAGAACCTGTAATCCTTCCACAGAAGTGTCATGGAAATATGAAGTTAGAGAGAGCAGGTAGACAGCATCCTGCATTGACAGAGCACTTTTCATTGGTGATGGCACTTTTCATACCTTCCAGTTTTGAAAGAATAAGGACGTATCCTTCCCATAACACATTAACAGATGACACCTCACAAATTGGTATTTCAAAAGCACCTGTGTACCTTCAGCTGAAGTATAGTAGGTTTTTATGGCAGAAAAACGTCCTCATGAATATGACCGTCTCAAGAAAACAGAACCTTTTTTTCTTAACAGCAAGCCCGTGTATTCCAGCTGATCAGTTCCAAAGAGCTGTCAGTATCTGCCTGCAATTCATTCTTTTGCCACATAACACCAGTCAAATGTACATTTTGGCAAGACAGTCACAAGTAAAGCAGGACTTTTAGCTCATTCATAGTCTTTGTTAATTTACAGGGTGATATCAGTTAGGATGGATTCTCTAAACCACATAAATTACTTTGAATAACAGAAGCATATTGTTTTGTGCAGAAAGCAAAGAAAACTTTTCTGCACTAAATAAACACTGAACCCCATTTTATAGTCATGCAGTGTAGAGTAGGGCATTTGCAGATTATGTCATTGATGAACACGTTTGCCCTGGGATCACGTTATTACCTATCATTTGCAATGCCAGTGTTCTTCCCAGGACACAAAAAAAGTGAAAAGGAAGAAAGAAAATCTGAATGGAAAAATTCCTCTGCTGCTGTCATTCCACTTTCAGAGGAAACATGCACATTACAGTATGTTTTCAGTGTTTTCAGCTTCTTCCAATACGTTTTAGAACTGAAAGGAAGTCTCAGGAAGTTGAGTTGTAAATATTTTACAAATAAACAATCAATCCAAAACCTGGCAGAAAGGGAAAGAGCACAGATCTCTTCTGATAAAAGCCTAAATGTGAACTATTACTTAGCACTAATTCCCAGCGGCAGCATCCTGCAAACACACTGTATATCTGTCTTGGCAAAAAGAGAGTTGCTTGATAGACCAGAGACTACATAAATCTTGGCATGGCTAAGAATAACTTCAGTGGTTGAAATGAAAGAAAATATTTTCTGTTGTGTGCAGTACTTTTTCTTCTTTTTTTCCAAAATACACACAAAAGCTATGCAGAAAATAGTTCTAAGTACAGTAACACATGCATTACATTCTTCATTTAATAGGAAAAAGCTTTTTTTTCTGCTAGTTAAAATAAGTACATGTTAAAATAAGTATTTAATTATTATCTACCTTTTCAATTCTGCCTTCAACTTGATGAAATCTTAAGTGAAGACATCACTTATAGTGTTAAAGGATCAGCAGAAAAACGTTTCCTTACCTTTTTTTAAGATGGGGTGTGGTATCCTCTACGTTCACACAGTCTTGTTCTCTCTCTGAAATGGGGATTTTTCTTTAATATAAGTGCTCAGAAATCAGGACACACTTCTAAGGACCAGTGGTTAGCATTCTCCCAGACTGCCTAGGCATAAGGGCAGAAGAAAAAGTTTTAGTTCACCTTTTCTAAACGAGCCTACAAGTATTTTTATGTTTTCCCTCTTTTGAGGAGTGGCTCATAAGCTGAGCAGTTCCTGCCTGCCACATCTCTTGTACATGGTTTGAGATGTTTGGAGTCTAAAAAAAAAAGAAACAAAAAAAAAGAAAGATATTGCAACCCGAGAAATTTTCATTAGCTTCAGATTTCCCTCTGAGACTTTCATACAAAATGGTCTTTCTTTACTCTTTCTAACTAGTGAAATAGCAACACTTTCTTATTTTTCCTTCCAAACAGCCACATCCTGCAGTTCTAAATCAATTATATATCAAGAAAAATATGTGACTGTTTTTACTGTAGTTTGGGCTAAGTTAAAAATGCAGTATTTGACTCTAGTTTCTAAAAAGGAAAATCTAGCAACTTCTAAAAATTAAAACGAGAGTTTATCATAACTTTGATTTTCCTTCAACTAGAGTATGTTAAAATGACTTTTAAATATTTTTCTGGCAAAAAGCATTAAACCCCTTTTTTAATAAAAAAACCCTTTCTTATTACAAGAAATTCAAACTACAGTAGTAGGCTGCAAAGTAGGAAAAATTTAAACAGGTGAAAACGACTTGTACAATAGCACAGAGCAACTCAATTGGTTTTTTAACCAATTTTTCTTCTGTTTCCACCAGTTTTCCATTGAAAAATTTGAAAATAATTTTGCGATTTTGAACAAAACCATGATGTAAAAGTATCCTAAAAATTTTTTGGACTCTTACTAGGGATTGTTTGCTTCATTTCACATATAACTAAAAGTAAATATCAGACAGGGATGTTGTAGCGACTATCGTATTCCCACACTCTAACCATTATTAAATAGTATTTGCTATATTCATTCATCCTTACACCCTCAGGCAGCTAGAAATAAGAGTGTTTTGTTGGAACAGTGCAATTAGGGTATTGGCAAAATCACGCTCCATTTGACAAGACAAGGATAAGTGCATTGCTCACCCGTCGGCAATCAAACAGAACAGCCGGCGGGCATTAAATTGTGAGGTTATTAGCCCTAATATTCAACTACTGCTGAATTTCATGGGCTAAGTGTTGGTGGGTGCTTGCAGGACGCCAGGACAGATAATGTAGATCAGCGTTGATCCTAGCAAGCACATCTGGAACAAGGCAAAGTCCGTTTAAGCTGAGAAATGACAAATTAGCACTCAATTGACGCTGCACCACTCGTAACATTCAGGATGTATTCAAGGTGTGAATGAAATATGAAAAAGCAACATGAAAGCATCCAGAGTTTTTCAGGCCAAATTTTTAGAAAAAGAAAGGTATTTCTAATGCCTATGGCAAACTGTGAAGGCCTCAAACTACTGGTACTCGTGTGTACCTGGGAACTCCAGATGTTAAAAATCTCATATATAGGCATCAGCCTCAAATCTAATTTTCACACGTAGACCCACCACTACCCTCTTGCTTATAAGCACAAGATGCAGTACTGAAAAATAGCATGTGCAATAGTTTGAACATGGAAAGTTTGTGGCCTGCAACAGGATATCAGGTCAATGTTTTTCTAGCAAAACAGGCAGGAATGTATTCAATTTTTCACCAGAAAGCACGCCCAGCAATCAATTATCAGTGCAAAGGGTGGTGAGACACTGGAACAGGTTGCCCAGAGAAGCTGTGGATGCCCCATCCCTGGAGGTGTTCAAGGCCAGGCTGGATGGGGCTTTGAGCAACCTGGTCTGGTGGGAAGTGTGCCTGCCCATGGCAGGGGGATTGGAAGGAGATGATATTTAAGGTCCCTTCCAACCCAAACCATCCCATGATTCTATAATTCTATAAAGTTCTCTGTGAGTTCCTATCTGTAAATCCTGTGTGCAACCAAAAGGCAACCAAAGCAAAGTCTCTCTGACAGCCCCTACCCTGCAGACCTTGTGTTGTTAACTGGCAGAGCAGAAAACATCTCTCAGTGGGACAGGTCTGCTAATTTCATGTTTCCCTGCCCTTCCTGCACCTGACTGACTGATATTAATGGTTGTAGTGCAGCAGACACCAGGAGTTCAATGCACCTGCAATAAAAAGCCTGCTGTAACCCAGAGACTTCAGGTCTATTACCATGTGGGCATCCCAAGGGGAGCAGTGACTCGACCGGTGGCTGCTGTTATGGAGAGTCAATTTTCATGCTGCTGGTTAAGGTTTTGAAGCATGTGAGCAGTGGGCCAACCTCTGAATTAGTTCATTGTCCTTGAAAATCAGAATCTAATAGGGAAACATTTCCATTAAAATAAAATTCCTGCAGACAGGCCAGCAAGGAAGATTTAGACCTTGGAAGATTATTTCAGGAAACTATTCTATATTGTCTTTTTTCAACACAGCCATAAAATTAGATGCATTACAAGAAATATATATTTTCAGCATAGAAAGTTAAGCAAACACAAATTCTGCATGCAAGTAAGAAAAATTACTGTGTCCCACAGTAATAAGTAACAGACAGAAACAATGATGCCAGGCCCAGAGCCCATGAAAAACTGACCAGAATGGAAACCAAGAAATATAAAGTTACTTCAGCTTCTTATGATTTTGTTGGAGGACGGAGAGCTCCACACTCTGCCTTTTACCTTTTTACAATCTACACTTTAGCTCGAGACATAATAATAGTACAAAACCTTAGAACAGAAAAAGGTCATTATAAAAGCAGGTCCCTGAAAATACCTACCTTGATGCTAGAGTTACAAGTGGTAAATTGATCAACTGGTCTATTTTCAGCTTCTCAGACAATAGTTGTTCTTGTACATAGTCTGCATAGCTGTTATTTCACCATGCAACACAAGACTAGTGGGCAATTAAGCATGGCAAACCATCAAATATTTGTCCACTAAAGGACCCTGCTATATCTTTCCCCCTTGCCTATTAAGTACCTGTTTTTCTAAGAGCATTTTTCAGCTTCTCAGAGCAGCTGAGTAACACTCCAAAAGGAAAATATGTTCAGTATCCCACAGGTAAATACAACCAACTTTACTTACAGAATCCTTTCTTTTCATATGCAAAGAAAGCTCCTGATTCAAAGGAAAATAAAAAAAATGTGTTTCTCATCAGACAGAGAAAGCCAATATCAACAACTCCTGAAAAAAGCAATAAAGTGTAGAGATATCTTTCAGTTAAAATACTGAAAGCTGTGATTCTGTGTTTTGTATCATGAGCAAGAACACGATCCTTCTATGAATTGAACAGTTTCTTCAGAACATGATAGATCATTCTGCACTAGAAACTGTGTTAGTACATTTAAAAATTGTGATTCACTAATTTAAGTTAATAAGACCTATAATTTAAAGCATTTGGTAAACACATATAAAAATATACAGAATATCAATAAAAAGACATTTATTTTTTCTTTAGACTACTTGCCTGACAAAAGGCTGCGATGACTTATTAGCCATGAAAAGTTATACAATTCAGAATGGCACTTTTGGCAATTTCAGGTTTGGTAAACAAAGTAGTACTACAACGCAAGATGTTTTACTAACAAGTCATAGTACCTTTTGATACTAGGGTTTAGTTTTTAAATTAAAAATAAACCCAAGAGAACCCTCAGGCATTTCTTTGGTGGCTAATAGTACATTCATTTTTCCATACCAGAGACTGAGACGGTTCTGCACTGCACATCATACAATTTCATTGCTTTGGATTATCCTCTCTGACAATGCATCACATAGTGACCACAACTGCTCAAAGCTAGGAAAAGAAATATTCGGTCATATTAGCATTTTATCATAATTCTGGTTGACTCCTCGGTCATATTAGCATTTTATCATAATTCTGATCTTGGGGTTGACTCTCTAACACCTTCAGGGCTGGGTCCTGCAAGGAGAATAGTCTCCAAACATGCATGAATATGCATATATTTGTGTGCTCCAAACATGCATGAATATGCATATATTTGGGTATATTTGTATGTATATATACACACACACAGAGCACCATGGAATGACAGATTAAGTTTCTCAAATGCTGCTTCCTCCCAAAGTCAGAGGTTTGGGCTGATGAAGAGGAGTGAATCCCCTCTCTCCAATTACCAGGACTCACTAAGAGAAAAGTAATATGGTAGGAGATATGATCTGACCAGCCCCTTCCTAGGTTTCTGCAAGTTACTCAGTTTTTACCGAAATACTTAAGAAAAGTAGCAGAGAGAATTTGATTTCAAAAGGAGCTACCACCATACTAATAAGTACACCTCTCCTGTCCATCCAAATATGGTGAGCAAATATGCATAAAGTATTACCCAAACATGGTGGGCAAAGTGTGTTATCTCTCCTCAGCCAAAAGTAAACTCCTTATATGCTTTCTTGAGAGATAAATAAGCTAAACATGCAGAACTAGTAATTAAAAGCACTACAAATAATAGAAAATGTAAAAATCATGGTTAGTAAATAATGTCTCAAAAAGGAGCGCATGAAACCTGGGATAAAAAAAAGCTAATCTATTTTCATTGACACTTACTGTGTCCTGGAACTCCAGGATATCGCAAAGTATCATTTAGTTCATACAACTGTTACGTGTTTGGGGGAAAAACAAGCAGTAAAAATGTTTAGCTCCCAGTTTTCAAGAGTAAGAGTGGAGACTTCCCCCAGATCTCCTTGCACAGTTATTTTCAGCCATGCCTTGCAAGGCATCCTCTCCTGTAGCGCAAACTCAAGGAAGAAAATTAAGAGATAAAAAAAAAGACCTAAAAACTTGAAAAAGATCTTACGTGCAAGGGCATGTAACAAGCTAGAAATACAAAAAAGGTGTAAAGAAGCCAGAGCCAGGCTTTTCTCAGTGACAAGAAGTGTTTTCAGCCATGCCTTGCAAGGCATCCTCTCCCGTAGCGCAAACTCAAGGAAGAAAAGTAAGAGGGGAAAAAATGACCTAAAAACTTGAAAAAGATCTTACATGCAAGGGCATGTAACAAGCTAGAAAGACAAAAAAGGTGTCAAGAAGCCAGAGCCAGGCTCTTC